CCGCACTGGGATCCCTCTCTACCCCGAGGCGCCGGATAAGGGAGGATTTCGCGATCCGCCCGCCGGTTCGCGGGATATCGCGGTCCGCGTGTGTCGATTTTCCCGTAAGGACAACGGGTGCAAGAGAGAGTGCGAGCGAGATGGAGCAATTTCCGCGTCTCGCGCTGGAAGACAGCTGATAAATTTTACGTACGTTCTTCTGGTACGCGCAACGGGTGCGAAGAAGATGGAAGGAGTTCGGCGTCCAACGAGTGCGAGGAGGATGGAACGAGTTCGGCGTCGCGCTGTTGGAAACGCCGCGCCATGATTTTTGCGAGCTCCGACTCGTGCATCCGTTGCCGGGCTACTCTCTCAGGGATGTGAAAATCTGGAAAATCTGTCTGTGCATTAGTTCTGTTTTGAAATGATTTAGGCGAATTCTCGAAAAATTTTGAGAGAAGCTGTTGTTTGGCTTCAAAAATAAAATAAATAAACCCAAATGGAACATAAAGACGGTGTGCAACGTTGCAATCGGAGGAGAAGCGGGGTTTTTGCGCGCATTTCATCAATACTTGACTCCGATCGTGGAAGGCGCTCTTGATACAACTATTTCACCACGGGGGATGTCCACATTGCTGCTCGCTATATTGAAGGCGTTGTGTACTGTGATGACGGCTCGGTCGAACAGCGCCTGCAGACGCGGTGCTGACAGCAGAGCAAAACTAGAACATCGTTTCGACATTCTCCACCTGCTTTCTGTTTCTATCATAGTTTACCGAAACACACGAGTCATACTTGCAAAATTTTGGATCATCGCTAATGTTTTTTCCTTTTTTTTTTTCTTAATTTCAAAGCATTAAATCTTATACAAGGAAACCGATGGTTACACCCCATAGTTCTCGTAAAATCGAGATTGGATTCTTGCAATTCGTCACTTTTAACAAGCAGAAATGAAGCGAGCAACTATTTGAACTCCGGAGTGGGTATGTGGTATCATAAAAAATTGAAGGAAAATCATACGTTTTCGCCCATCCCAAGTAACAGATGTTTATGAGTTTTATGCGCACATTTACGTAGTCTTAGTTGAGTAAGAAATTCGCGTGTATGCCACGATATTGATTTGAATAACGCGCAATTATAATACTCTTAGAAATTCGCCAGGAACACGACGTATTTGCCGTGATATCGTGGTGATTATCGTGTAATTTCTAATTTGTTTTTCAAAATCCCTGGAAAAATCACGTTTTCTCCGCGATGTCGATGACAAACCCGCCATTGCTGAGAATTAAACGAAACCGTTGGTTAAATCCCGTAATTTTCGCGGCTGAAACTCACCAGCTGTAACTTCAATTAAACATTGGACTGACAAAAGTAACACATCTTTATGAAAATAACCAACTTTTGATTGGGTATTGCTGATTATTATAATGATCATATGAGCTTACTGCAGAACAGACCAAAATAGCAGCTTTAATCAGCATACTACTAAGCTCTGCATTTTTATCAAACCAGTGCGTCTCGCCAATTTTGAAATAGTAAAAAATAATTCAGAAACACAATTAGTAACTGATCACTAATCACAGTGATTGCTGATGGTGGGGGTTTTCCTGTGCGTAGCACGGGTTTCCTGCTAGTTGGTTATAAAAGGCTGTAAGAAATTGTGTAGAATTTTGTGTGCTTTGGAAATCATTAAGTTTGATACGGAACCACCTTAATATTTACAAAACACACATTAAATTTTCTTTTAATAAATATTTTTTTTCATCAATTAAAATGAGAATAATCCATACAGGATGTGCACACATTTCAAAATCATAAGTTGAATAACGCTGACTCCGCCAGATTAAATATTAGAGCCTAACACAAAGCGGAGCGGCGACGCACTGGCGCGGCTCCTACAAACCTAACAGGGATACTTCACGGATTGCGCAACGCGTAAAGTATCCCTGTTAGGTTTGTAGGCGCCAATGCGCGTTCAGCGCTGGCTGCCCGCCTGCCGCGCTGCAGCGTGCCACGGCGCTTGAAGCAACTATTTCACACCAGAGGTATTGCACAGTATCATGAGAAACTGAAGGCGCTCTCATATATTAGAAATGGCAGGCATCCATCAAAAGTACGGAGCTTTCCTCGCAAAATCAATCAAGATACTACGGCCCGAAAAGAGAGCAGTACTCCAAAAACTCACTAAGTCCTAGCATCCGAAATTAGTAACTTTTAGCATACTCTTCATCGCCTGGCCGTTGCTTAATCGCCATCGGCTGTAAAAGGCTATAAGAAATTGTGTAGCCGGCTATAGAAGCTATTGGAAATCTTACAACCGGCTGTAGATCTATGGTATTTTGGAACACAGATTCTACTGCCAATTTTTACCAGGGTTTTAAGGAATTTCCTACGGAGTGAAACACATTTTCTGTGAGCATTTTTTTTTTCTTTTATACATTTAAAAGAATTCATACGTAACATAGTCACATATTTTTTTATCGGAGCATTTCATTTAAATTAAAAAGAAAACAAATCATTAACTCAAAAAAAAAGAAAAAATAAAGAATCAGATAAAATGTAGAAGATAGATTATTGAATCCGTCTGGGAAAGTCCGAAAACGCGTTTATCAATCGCAGAGTTTCTTACCGATATCTCAGAAGTAAAATGAAAAATAAGAATAAACAAATATCGATCTGGACAGGCATACATGAAAAAATATGCGTGACGCAAAACAATTATTCGCGGGTATAAAGCAGAATGTTGCGACAGGAATTTCTCTTTAAAACAATAGGAACACTAATTGTTTCAAAGAGAATTCCCATTACTTTTCAAACCCGTTTTGTCGCTTTAAAAGATCTTTGGTTGGTTTTTGGTTAAACTAAGAATTCCTATCGCGAAATATTGAGCAAGAATATTTCCTCGGAATATGTAAAAAAAAAATAAAAAAAAAAAAAAAAAAAAAAAAAAAAAAAAAAANAAAAAAAAAAAAAAAAAAAAAAAAAAAAAAAAAAAAAAAAGAAAAAAATCGAAAATACAGAGTGCGGAGGAGTGAAAAGCCTTTTCCCACCGCCTAACAAAGTACTCTCGGGGCATAAGAAAACAAAAGCAGGACGCTTCACAAGCCCAAACCCCTTTTCCACCCCGAAAATCCTCAATTAAGAACGACTGGCACTAATTGCCGGGCTCCGAGGGACGGCGAAGCTTTCAAATCACGCCATAAGGGAGGACCCCTTGGGAACGTGAGCATAGCGCACAATCGGACGGATTACTTGAAAAACCGCGCAAGTCCTCCCGAGTCCCTGCGGCATTTAGGTCTTTATTCGGCCGAGTCGTTCGATTTCAGGAAGAAAAGATGCAAGACCGAGAAACGGTTGACGGCGGAGGACAATGCGTAGCTTTTGTCCAGAGCGCGCCACGGTCGGTTGGTCCCCGAGTGACCCCTGGACCAAAGCGTTGAGAAGGGGAGGAACGGATTCTTTATCCTTAAGACGTGCGAAGATTAATGGGCCTCGGAGGCCTGAAATATGGAGCCTCGGGGAGAATGAGTCCTTGGCGACCTAACATTTTAATTTTTTATGGTGTGCGACTCGTTTTGTTGATATGAAAGTGATAAGACGGACTTCGAGGGAGGCCCGTAAAAGCATCTATATTCAACAAATGAGATAAATACCACAAAAAAGGGGCTTGGAGGACAATGTGCATAAGTGTGGTTTTTGCTGTTTCGAGATATACGTATTTGAAGTTTCGAAATTACAAGCAGGGAGAAAGAAACCTCGCACGTGGGACCCGAAGTTTAGGTCATATGGATTTCTGAAGTTTTCAGATTGAGCATCTGAACACTCTAGGTCTAGCTGTCGAGGTTCGGATAACACATCTGAAACTTCAGTTCTTCCATCTGAAGTACTTCAGATGTGAGAACCGAAGTTTTTCGGATGTGAGAACCGAAGTTTTTCGTATGTGAAAACCGAAGTACTTCAGACGTAAGAACTGAAGTTTCAGATGTGTGATCCAAACCTCAGCAGCTGGACCTTAAATGTTCGAATGCTCAATTCGAAAACTTCAGGGATTCATATGACCTAAACTTCGGGTCCCACGCACGAAGTTTCTTTCTCCGTGTGGATCCTTACGGCGGAGAGAAAGTTCAAACTGACTTGTTGATGCTGTAAAATTGGAACTTTGGAGCAAATTCGTCTAGTAAGGACTAGTTTTACTTAAAATCATTAATGTCCCTTTTTTTTCAAAAACTGCACTTATGCGCCTTGTCCACCAAGTCCCTCAAATCGAGGGCCAGGGAAAAATACAAATTTAACTCAAATAAATATATAAATGTATAATAAATACACGGTATAAAGGTGACTCTTATTTTATAGAAAAATACCGCCCAAGCTACAATTTTGGCGAAAATTAGGAGGTTACTTTGCTGTATTCTGTAATATAAAATACGGAAGCTAATGATCACAGTTTTTTTACCAATCCTGCGTGAAAGCGCTGTAATGACGCTATAATTTATAGAATAATGCATATCTGGCATTAAAATTACGGAAATGACGAATTCTTTTCTTCGTCCTGCAAAATTGGCAGTTTTCAGATAGACAGCACTGTCCCTCTACTCAGCCATCGAAATGCCGTACAAAATCATGAAAAAGAAAATTCATTCATAATCAATAAAATTATGAATGAAGATAGAATAAGTTCGATCAGAAGGTGACAAACTTACTTTTTTAATTTTCAGAGACCTACTAACAACTTTAACTTTTTTGTTATCATGTATTTTAACGTGAAATTTGCCTCACAGCGTGAGACCTGCATGTGTGATGAAAAATTTCACATGTCAAAGTCAACATTAATGTGCGGATTTTCTGGAAGAAAAATCATCGCTTTGAAAATTTACATACATCTGTTTCTTTCCAAATAATGGACAATTGGACAATCGACCTTTCGGACATCATGAGCAGATTACCTGAAATTAATAACTTGCAAAACACACATTTTCCTATCGAACCTTTTCATTGAGTGAATCTCCTCTTGTTTGTTTCAGGAATCACTGGTGAAGTTAACATAGATCCAAATGGCGATCGGATATCCGACTACTCTCTCTTGGACATGGATTATGAAACGAATGAATTTAAGGTCAGTCAACACTATTTCATTTATTTACATCAATTTACATGCGTGGTTGATTCACTCGTACAGTGGAACTTGTACGAGCAACAAACATTATTTTGCATCGTGCAAAAGTGGAATTGGACCGCGTTTAGCAGAAAGAAACCAAGCCACATCAGCTATTGCCAAATTTAACTGGGTAGTTTATTTTTAGAAAAGAACTTTTGTGCAGATTTATTTGAAAATTCCAAGAGACTTGCTTCGTACCATGCAGAAAATTCACTGAAATTTGCACAAAAAGCTGCACAGCCGTTTTTATTTGAAAAATTAAATTGTCCGGTTAAATTCGGCAGTAGGTTATGTGGTTTGATTCCTTTCTGCTTTAGGCGGTGCAATTGGACCAAGTTCATCAGATAGGAACCAACCCTCATTTTCGAAAAAAAATTGACTCAAAAATGTTTTAAAGTTCCACTAGTCGTACGTATTACCTTGCAAAAAACTCAAAGTCGAGAAAACAAAATAAGTCTATATTAAGAGGGGCTAAAGTTTATTTTCTACATTGAGCCTTATGGAAAAATAAAACTTCAAACCTCTTTTTCTCATTTTCAACTTTATGTGGGTTGGTTCCTTTCGGTTAAACTCGGTCCGATTGAGCTATGCTTAATTTCTTGTCATGTCTAGTGGTCAATTCAGTGGCAATTCTTGCAAGTTGGCAACACTGTTTTTTCTCCATTTAAATGTATGTTAAACAATCGATCCTTGACGAGGCAGCTTGTATCACATAAAATTGAAATATTTCATTGGATTGATAGGAGTGTTAACATTGTTGCCAACTTGCTGGAATCGCTACTGGGCCCAATAATGGAGGGCATGCCAGACAACACAGGGTGCGGACAACAATTTTAATTGAGCTGATAAGTTTCTACCCTCGCATCCCCCACCCGAGAAGCTNGGGGGGGGGGGGGTTCACGTGCCCGTGACAACCCAATTCAAGTGAGAAATGGGACCCGCACGCCAGCACTAGACAAGCGTCGCGTTTCAGTCCCGCCGATTCCGCGAAAATCCACTCCCGCTGAAAAGTATTAGAGGATGCAACCCGCACGGCTTGCCAAATGAGTCAATCAACAACATTTTTCAATTTAAAATTAATATTTCCGGGGTGTGTCCAAGTCCCGGAATCTCCGGAGAGTCGGGAAATAGTACTGATTTTTTAAGGGCGGTCCGGAAATACTGAAAAAGTGCGACATTTCCGGAAGAAGGTCCGGAATTTATTTCATTTCTTTTTGTCATTGTTGTCGCAATATGAGCGAAGATTTCAAAGTTTAGATTTTTTTTTATAATTTCGTCAAGTGGAGGTGCTGAAATAGCTCTGAATTTTTATATCGAGGAGGTACTGAATGTCTTGGGAATTTACCGAAAAAGTACCGTAAAAGTACTGATTTCCGACCGGCCAGTTTCAGTAGACCACCTGATTTCCGACCGGCCAGTTTCAGTAGACCACCTGATTTCCGGCTGATTTTAGTAACAAAATATGTTTCATTAGTTTCCTCATGCATGAAGGGAATTTCTCCAAGTAGCATTTTTCAACGGATAAATCGCGATTTATTGCAATTTTATCGACGATAAAGCACTAAAATCATCTACATCTGAGCTGTTTTCTCGATTTTATCGCGCGTTAATCGCCAGACAAGTTATCGCAAAATTATTGACATAAAATATCGCAATGTACGGCAATTTAATTTCGATTTTATCTACGAAAATTGGTAGCGAGTTTATCAAACCAAAAATTGCGATGTATAGCGGTCAATCGCCATACATCGCAATTTTCAATTCTATAATATCGCGAAAAATTGCCACCGATGTAATTGCGATAACAGACCGATACAATTGCTATTTATCACGACCACTGCTACTTGGTAGGGATGATAGAAATACTAGTCCCTTAATGCAAAATTTACGAAAAGAGGGCCAGTTCTAAAATGATACATCTAACTGAGGTGACTTTTTTCAACTTAAATCGTACGAAAATCACGTCGAGCGCATCATAAATGGACTTAATTTTGCTGTAAGGACATTGGCGAATCTAGCAAGTAGCAAGTTGACAATATTATTTCTCGTTTTCTTATTTTTTATCAGAGACATTCAACAAGTTCAGATAATTGTTCTCTCTCCATTTAAACTAATGGAAATTAATCTATTCTCAGAAGTCCAGACGCGATGCTTCGACAAGAATAGATTATTCAATTAGGATTAAATAAAGAGAACCCAATAAACCTGTTACATCCACTTCTGTGCAAGAAACAACCATTTTTGACTCATCCATAGAAATACCTGTCTGCATAGAGAAAGCAATGGTGCACATTTTTTGGTAATGTTCAAAAAGAAAGTCGTTGAAGGATCGCTTTGCCTTGGAATCCAAGTGACTCTATTTTTTCTGACAACGCGTCAGTGCCCATAAGAGTTGGTAAGATTCGCTAGTCACAGAGCCGCATTTTGATGGAAAATTAGTCAATTGCACTGTTCCTTTGGGTTAGATTCTAATTTTGTTCCGCGGGCTGATTGCCAGAAACCAAGTTTCCACGGTCGCGGTAAATATGAAAATCCAAGATGGAAACAACGCAAGTTTTGCGCGTACTTAACGTCAGTATTTTCAGATCAGGGAATATGGCTCCACTGCACAAAACGACTGTTCTGGGTGATTGGTCGTTTCACTCCATCCGTGATTGTCGACGAGAGACAGTTGCTTTTTGACGATCGCTGAGAAAATTGTCTCGCGAGCGTCGACTTCGTGTTCTTCAATTTTTCCGAAGAGATTGAACGACTGAAGAAATTGTATACGCGATAATTAATGTAACCAACCTCTTTTGATGAAAAGAGACTGATATAATTCGGCAATGGAGCCTCTGAAAGAATTGAGTATACAAGAAACGATCATCAGGACAACTTTGACCAATATCAGAAATTGTATTTCATATTGTCCAATTAGATATGGAAGACAAGGTGGCATGAACTGTAAGACAGAAATGAAAGATTGGAAATATCAGTGAAATATTTCATGAAATACCATGATGCTGTAAAAGACACTGGAAAAAAAGAATCCTAAATTTGCCGCCAAGAAGTATTTCTTCTTAAGTCAAGAATTTTGCTGGTTAATATAAGCTACTTTTTTGCTTAACCCAAGCATTATTTTTCTTAAATCAAGAAAAAGTCAGCTTAAAGCAAGATAAAGAAAATTCTTGGCGGCAAATTCAAGAATTATCATGCTTGATCCATGATCCAAGCTACTTTTTTTTCAGTGTATGTCATATTTTCTAGGAACTAGAGTATGCAACCCGCACTCAAAGATATAAAAACAGAAGAGAGTCACAATTTTTACATTTTGCGAACATGAAAAAGAACCGGTATCTTTCAATATCTTTCATAAGCTTTTGTTTCATGAGATATTTCACGTGAAATTTCAAGATTTTATTTTTCATGAAATTTTTCCACCCTGGCTCTTTCTGTCTCTTTCAGCCAGAATTCGGTATTCGGCTTCCGCCGCTAGAGCTGCGGCGCGAATTTTGAATTTCAACAACTTTCTAGTCTTGGCCGCAAACAAATATGACCATCTGCTGTTAAAAAAAATGATCCAACAGCCACCTCACTAAGGGCAAATTAATATTCATTCTTAATGAATTTGCTTCCACTGAGTCTGTTACTTTCATTCAACAGCAACGTTCATACTCGTTCCCAGCTAAAACTGCAAAGTTGTTGGAAAACGTATATTTCTTACGCATTTTGTGAAGTTAGAAGTAATTCAGAATTCTTAATACGCTCATCGTGATTTTTGAGCGTCATTTCATACAAGAAACGAATCTCCTTTTTGCTCTAGCTGAAGTTCGCAACAGTCCCATTTTGGTCAGAAGTGTCATGTCCAACTTTTCTCATGGTTCGTTCCACTGTGCGCTAGTTTAAAGTGATTTGCCATTTTTTGTGTCAGAGTGGCGTGCGATATCAGTACATATATATATTTCGAAATCAGTATCGAATGCGATATTTTTCCTCTGAAAAACCCTGCCTTTACTACGTTGAATTTCTTTGTAAAATGTGGCACATGGATTCTTTAGTCTCATGACAACAGAAGTGCGATCTCAAAATTCGAAAAAAATGACACGTATCTGAAATTAGGGAACGAATTGATGCGATATATCGCACGTCGCTCTGACACAAAAATGACAACCATCGAATCACCTGCTATATTTTGTGTCAGAACCTTATGCGATAATCGCAGCGATTAGTTCCATTTTCTCAGCTACTTTGCACGTGTTTATTTTTAATTATTCCATAAAAATTATCCAGTCACTAAATGAAATTCTAGCTTGAGCATACTTTGAATATGCGGCCCATACTAGCAATAGCGGCAAAGGGAACCCGACAAAGCCAGCGTGAAGGCTACTTCAATATTAATCTTCCATCGCATTGCTAAGGCACGGTGATACAACTATTCGTACTCTGCGGAATGCGTGAGGTATCACGCTACAATTGAAGGCGTTTTCGAAACTGCCAACTTTTACTGTCGGGATTCTTGCGTCACATAAATAGGGGTATCTACTAAAGCTGGCTGGCGAGGTAATTCGACGGTTGCCATTTTTTGTGTCCGAGGGACGTGCGATATATTGCATCAATTTGTTCCATAATTGTCACTTTTTTTTTCGAATTTTGAGATCGCTAATCTGTTGTCAAGAGACAACAGAATTCACTTACCAATTTTGACAAACAAATTCAACTTAATAAAGGCGTCGTTTTTTAGAGGGTAAATATCGCATTCAATACTGACATCGACAATGCACTCGAATGCGATATTTTCCCTCTAAAAAAACCATGCCTGTGATACGTTGAATTTATTTGTCAAAATTTGTAGGTGAAATCTTCAGTCTCCTGACAATAGAATTGCGATCTCAAAATTCGAGGAAAATGACGAGTAGCTGTAAAAATGTAACGAATTGATGCGATAAATCGCACGTTGCTCTGACACAAAAAATGGCAAC